AGACTAACCCGCTGAACACGCGCGCACTGCAGGCATGACTTTGCCTACCTACTAGGCGCCCTGAGAGCCAGCAGTGGCTAAACTTGGCAGGTTTGCAGCGGCGAATGACGGACGCGTACTCTCTGGACGATCCCCAGTGTGGTCGCCCTCGAAAAGCGTGCTTTTGTAATTCTCATGATTTATTTTCCTCTCGTTGCAGCCAACGCGGGCCAGTACGCACACTACGTCTTCCGAACCTTGGACCAGGACCACAGCGGGCTGCTCAACTTCGAGGTGAGTGAGGGTTGCCGATGCGAGGGGGGCTGCGGGTGTGTGTCTCTTCATGTTCGCCGTGCCCCGCGCCGCGTGTGTCTGTATCGGGAAAATGCAAAGGCGCCCCGCCGCAATGGCAGAGGGCCCCAATATGTGCCATATGGGCTTTTAACATGTTTGCCTTGTCCACAGCCGATGTAAAATCCTGAAAATAAACAGTCCCCTCTCTCTTGCTACTCCGGCCGTGTTTTAAAGTCCCCCCCCCCTCCCCCGCTCTCTTTCTTTTTCTCTCTCTCTGTCACTCACTCTCTGACACACACACAGACACACACTCACTCACTCACTCACTCACTCTTTTTACCCGTGCTCATTCATTTGAGTCTGCCCTCTGCCTCTGTCGACAGAACTTCGTCCACGGGCTGTCCGTGCTCTCGCGCGGGTCCATCGACGAGAAGCTGCGCTGGACCTTCTCGCTGTACGACGTGAACGGCGACGGCCGCATCACGCGCGAGGAGCTCGCCGACGTGGTGGGCTCGGTGTACGAGATCATGGGCAAGACGGCGCACCCGGCCGCCGACCAGCACGCCATCGTCCAGGACAAAGTGGATCGCATCTTCCAGGCGAGTACTTTCTCCGGGGAAGCCCGAAGAGCATTCCAATAAACATTCAAGAGTACACCCATTTTTTGCCGATTTTTTAAACTTGATTTTTACATGATTCTTCTGGGTGTTTTTTTATGATTTTTTTTTTAATTTTTATTTTGGGGAAAGGGTGCACACTGATAGTTTTTTTTACTGCAGTACCCCTTGGAGGAGTCGTCCTGCCCCGCCCCGCCCGCGACTGTCATCTAAATCCGGATCAGGCCCAGGTCTCCACGTTCTAACTGCGACCTCCATATCCTGTTGCAGAAGCTGGATCTGAACGGCGACGGCGTCGTGACCCTGGACGAGTTCCTGGACGCGTGCCTCCACGACGAGGAGATCAAGCGGTCCATGGCGGTGTTCGACTCGTGCTTCTGACCTTTGCCCTGGGTCGCCGGCGACCCGGAACTGTCGCCGGACGGCCTGCTTCTCGACGGCGGCGCGCCGGAAGCTCCAGAAGCACCGGACGCACCGGACGCACCGGAACCGGAAGCACCCGGGGCCCTCGACACGTCCTGCTCGAGCGGACTAAGCGATGCCCCGTCGTAAAAGGAGGAGGAGAAAAAGGGGACATGGACATCGCCTAGGCAGCGCGAGCCGAGAGAGCGCTGCACTGTGCAACACAGCCCTTGACGTGTGTGGATAGTGTGACCGCCTTATTCTAGAGCCCCCTTCCTAACAAAAAACATTGTGTCTTTCATTCTATTTTTTGACCAAAGCTGTAGAAGTTTATATTTTGCAGATAGATAGATAGATAAGATAACTATAATTGTGTGATGTGGGAGAGAACAACTTTAAATCGTGTAATTAGTTGTAAATTTAAGAACGCTAGAATCACGTGAGAATAAATAAAAATGTTATGGATATGAGTTTATATCCACAAGCCAAAGCCTGAACTCGGAGTTACGATTTCTCGGTTACCCGCTCCCCGCTGAAGACAAACCACGCTGTCGCTGACAGAACAAGGAAGCGCGAAGACAAACACTCTACCAGACTGAACCCACTATAAATTATTATTTCCCGCTTTGCTGGACATGGGTTATGTGATCATCATCCATGGAGTACGTCCGTCATTCCCCGTTACGAACCTGCAGCCAAGTTCAGCGTCTGCAAGGTCTCATGGCGCCTGATAGGTAGGCAGCATCTTACCTGCAGTGCAAGCATGTACTGCGGGGTGGCCTACCTCAAATCACTCAGGCCGACTTTAATGTGCCAAATTGATCCGAGAAAAACGGGCGAACTTCCTGGGCGATCCCTTTACGGCCAGATGAGCAAAGGGTTGGACAAGTCAATTCGAGTGCTCCAGTCTTTCGGTTGGCACTTAATTGTTGAACTTAAAATAAGGTACAAGACATTAATAGAGGTGGGAATTCCCTTGATCGCGTGCCAGCCCGAAAGACACGCCCGCAGAGGGCCCGAGAACCACCCAGCGGCATATCCAGAAGCAGAAGGCAAGGAACCGTTGGTCAGTGGTCCAACGCGTTGTCGACCGGGCGAGATCTGCCGCTCCAACGTGATTATGGCAGTTGGCAGTTTTGGGATCATTTCAGGCAGGAAAGTTGGCCGGTGATGTTGTGGCATTATCGCGGTTATTACCAATGTCGGTCGCCCGGAAGTTGACCCGACCCCGAGGTTGACCGGTGGTTGTTGTAGCAATACCACGGTATTTACTAATGTTGGTTGTCCGGAAGTTGCCCGAAGCTTGACCGGTCGTTGGCCGGTTTAATGTTTGTCTGGGTCTGGGATCTGGTGGTGACCGCTAGTAGCTTTAGGCCAGGGTGGAGAAATATATCTCTATGCCGTGCTGCAGGTGCGTTGTGGTTTGTGGATGATGGCATGGTGGTGCCTAGAGAGGTAGAAAAATCTGTTCTGGTACAGAGGCATGGGCACCACGTGACCTACCCGACCAGCTGGGTCTAGACTAGACCTACCAAAACACGCGCCTTGTCGCGACTCCGTCGTTACAGACACTTTTGTGAGGCGTGATCAGCGTGGTCGCTGTGTGCGCAGGTCGGGCACGCCCAGGAAGCTGAAGAACGCGCATCGAGGGGGAGGTCACTCAAACAAAATGTGTACAATGATTTTTTGATTTTTGATTATTTTTGATTTTTTTGATTTTTGATTTTGATTTTTCTTTTGATTTTTCAGCTATGAAAAAGACAATAACAGTTAAATTTACAAAAACTTCGCGTTTTTTCTTGTTTTGTGCCCATTTTTCTCAGTTTTGGGGTCGTTTGTTCTCGATTTTTCGGATTTTTATGCAACTTTCCACTTGATTTT